ACAAACAAAATTACGAAGTAGACTGGACATAAAACACACACTTGAGGTGTCATTGTCTCCTATTACCCCGAGATGGGACCGTCTGGTTGCAGAAAATCAAGCTCGGGGCTGTGGTGAGTCGTCATTTTCATGCACTTTGAATTTGCGTTGTATCGTATTTTGAAGGCATTAAACATTACCATAGCGATCAGAGTTGCGGCCAGATTAGACGCTCCTTGTGTTTATTATTATATTTCGAAAACGCCACAGTTTTCATGCAGCTCATACCATATTATTTTGTTGTATTATTTCCGCCACACCTTAAATGCCGGTCCCTGAAAATATTGTCTGACATAAACCGGTCCGTGGGGCAAAAAAGGTTGGGGACCCCTGCATTAGAGAGACATAGGCTGAAATATATAAGTTACTGTGCTGAGGTTTGCGGCAATAATTACCTATGGTGGCAATACCATTCAAACAGTGGCGCAAAATACACAGTACGTACTACGTCAGCCTATCATCAATCCCGTTACTTGATTGACACAGAGGGCAACCAATCAGATGACTGAATCACCACTCATGCGCAAACAACGGTGCTAAACGCTAAGCTAGTCAGCGAATTAGCTCTGATGTTAAGGCAGGGCTTCCCAATTCGTCGATCGCACTCGACCGGGACCCAGCGGACTGGTCCCAAGTCGACCGCGAGGGGTGGGAGGAGGAAAGGGGGGGAAATACGCGTGCTTGCGCGTACCCACGAGGACGGGATGCCCATGTGTACGTGGCTCTTTGCATTAAAACAGTCTCTGACTGGTTGGCCACCCCTGGCTGAGAGGAAACGATCCAAGAACTACCATTTTCCACCAATGTAGTACCAATGAAGAACTACTCACCATTTTGCCATTAAAAGTACACACCAGGGGTGAGGATATTTTTCATGCTTTCATGGGATTTGTTAGTGGGACAAAACAGTGGCTTTTAGATTTATCTTTCCTCACTGATCTCACTGGCCAGCTCAATGAATTGAATTTAGAACTGCAGGGTAAGGGTAAAGATGTAGTCAACATGATGAGTTCAGTGAGCACATTGAAAAGCAAGCTAAAGCTGATGTCCAACCGGCTGAGGCTTGGTAACCTGTGCAACTTCCCTCACATTCAAGCAGAACTACAACGTCAAGGGAAAGGTGTGACACAGCTTGACAGTGCACGTTACAAGGAGCACGTTCAGAGCATCTCGTCAGAGTTTGAGAGGCATTTTACTGACTTTGCATCCATCGAGCCTATAGTCAGCTATAAGTGTTATCCATTTGGTGCAAATGTTGACGTTGGTGACATTGCCGCCAAAGTCAAATCACTTTTCGACTTTGAAAGCCCCACTCTTGTGGATAAGATTCTGAGATGGCAAAATGACATTGGGATCAAAGCCAGGCCACTGATGTAGGAAGTGATTTCCTTTTTTCTAACAGAGATCTCCCTGTTTCGTAGCTGTTTTTTTCTGTTTGGTTCATATTTGGTTCCATGTAGGAAAGCCAAATGGCTTGGCCCTGGGACTTTTAGTGTGTGTGTGTGTGTGTGTGTGTGTGGGGGGGGGGGTCAGATGTTGACACTGGACTGGTCGATCTCCGGAGGTTGGCTCCTTGAAAAGTAGCCCTTGGGACAAAAAAGGTTGGGCACCCCTGATCTACACGAAAGGACACATACGGTAGAGGTCCCTCTTAGCCAATGGGATGCCAGGATGATGCTTGGGAATAGCCAATGGCAGAACAGCTACAAGTATGTTGCATTCAGGAAACTCTGAGCTGCGACTTGCAGCCTATACTGTATTTTTACCTTTCGTATCTTGATATTTCTTTCGTAACAAGAGGCAATATTTTCCTGTTGAGTCATTTTGTAACTTGAAAATTTTGTATGAAGAGACGTTCGTAGAGGTACCACTGTGCTACTAAAGGCTGATTTGGATAAATAGCTGATTATTACTGACAGAGACGGGTTTGGATAAAATGAGGTACACTTCTTACCACCCCATTTTGGACATGAATGTGAAATTGCTATTGGGATTTCTTTCTGTGTGGGACTTTTTGCGCTGATATTGTTTTATTTATTTATTTTTTTCAGAGTCACGATCTCTCCCAGTGAATCATTAAGATAATATAGAAGAGATTCTCACAGAAAATATATGCCCGTGAGTATTGTTACATTGTCTGTGTACATGTGTTGCTTCACTCTTTGTGTTCTAGTCTGTGTTACCTAAACGTTTACAACACAGCGAGTATGCGTGCAAAATTCTTAAGTGGTGCTCACCATTGGTTTGGGCCGCAGCCGCGCTCTGCTGGTTGCCGGCGACGTTGCCGTAGCCACGCAGGTTGTAGTTGAGGCCTCCATTGGTGTAGAGCTGGTCTTGGGCAAAAGCCGTGCTGGAGATGACGAAGCCAGAGGGGGCCACAGATGCGGGCTCCCTGGTGCAGGGCTTCTCAGCGAGGACGGGCTCGTCCTGTGAGCGCATGTTTCACTTTAGTGGCACTGAGCCATTCGAGACACTTCATTAAGCGCGCATGTATGCACAGATTTTTGCATTTAAGAACATGGTTGTTACTGCAGTGTGCTAACGTATTCTAATTAAAAAAAATCTTTTGATATGATTTCAGTCTCTCTTATAGCTAAATAAGTGAACTCAATTATTGGAAGTGATGGACAGTAGACTCAGTATAGTCTCCATAATGAGCCTGAACAACTCAGGCTAAACTTGCGTCTCCCCAAAAACAAAGCTAGCACTTGAACATACTGTATGTGCTCAAGACCGAAAGGACTTCTTTCAGTACTTGGCGCCATCTCGTGGCACCTCAGATCATTACGGCAGGTTCCAAAGAAAAAGCACAAATAGGTGAATTATGATTAGATACTTCATACTTCATTCATCCCAATGTGGGAATTCAGGATTAGGTGAGGCTTCATTGTCATACAAGGCAGTTTATAGTTTACGCTTACTATTCAATTCTCTCAGAGAGTGTCAACCCAAATAATTTGTAGTTTTGCCTTTTGTGGAGGCACAATGTTAGCAACAGTACTTGTATTGGATCTTTTCAGACTGCATACAGATGATTGGTCAATGTATATCCTGAAATTTATTTACCGCTGGGTAGATGTCGAGCCGCATCCTCTTGGCGGCGTTTCGGGTTTCGCTCTCGCATGCGGCGGCAAGGATGTTTTCAGCCATGGCAGAGGTGAGGTGAGGAGGGGTTGGTCTTATCTGTCAGCAAAAAATTGTGCATGTTTAATAAATGTGAAATACTGGATAGAACTTTGAGGAATGTTTGCAAAAAATAGCGCAAGGGCATTTCGGGGTTTGGTAGAATGCGAGTGACTAACACCGGCTTAAACTGAAAATGACGCCCAAAATGTGTTTGAGTTGCATATGCATGTAGTTGAGATAATCCCCAAAAGGATAATGTTTTCCAAAACACCTAAATGAATCAGTGAGGAGGAGAAATCGAGTGTATGGCATAAGTTATTGTGGAGAGAAGAAATCATAAAATAAAAATTCAGTGGGCTATCGTCAAGTAAAAATACATTCATCACAAGCCCTTCCAGGAACTTTTTCTGACTCCTTTCTGTTCCCATCTGATATTCAACCCGACTCAGTACGAGGTCAAATGAACTTTCAATGACCTCAGTGTCATAAATTCTTGATGAAACACCGTGACTCCTTAGAAACGTCTTTTAAGGTCTTATCTACTTAAAAAAAATGTTGAGCTCTGGTTTCATCAGGTATCTTCTGCCAAGTCAATAAGAATAAACATACTAAGTGCAAGTGAGACAAAATGCTTCATCTTAATTGGATAAAACATTCTCATTTCTTGCCTTGCGTAAGCGATGCTAGACTTGTTTTTACATTTTTTTTCTTTCATTGTTTTTAGTTCTTAGTATTATGGATTATTATCTGCTTAGTTATTATTTTATACAAATGTGTTTTTTCTTTCATTTAGATGAGTTATTAGTTTGCATTTATTTTTTTAGGGGAGGATTTCATCTAAGCCCTCAGGGCTTCTTTTCCTCGCCCGCACAATCTGTCTTTGTCTTTGTACTCTGTTGTTCTGTTGCATTGTGCAAATAAGAAAAATAATAATACCAGTGGCGGACCCTGAGGGCCAGCAAGGCCTTCTCTGCTGGCCTAAACATTCTCAGAAAAGTTTCTGAGAATAACATAAATTTGTTATTTTATTTTCATAAATATGTTAACAAAATTATTCTCTGTATTCTTTACGTCATATTATTTCCACTTAGTTATTTTTCGAGTGGCTTTCAATGTTATTTAAAATAACATTGAAAGCCACTCGAAAAATAACTAAGTGGAAATAATATGACGTAAAGAATACAGAGAATAATTTTGTTAACATATTTATGAAAATAAAATAACAAATTTATGTTATTCTCAGAAACTT